TAAATCAAACTGTACTGACTCTGGCTTGCCATTTCTGCAGCTGCAGTAAAAGCATATCTCCACTAAACTACTTGAAAAGTATTTGTTTTTAAATGGAACACCTGTTCGGTAGACTTATATCAGTTTTTCAAAGCACAGAAATACAGTTATATGTGGTGCTTTGATGTTCTTATTTGGCATTGGGTTTACTTTGCTTCTTAAAATTGCATTTGTGTAATATTCCTAGACAGTGCTAGCTGCAATTGTCATGGTCAACCTGAAAGGAATGTTTAAACAGTTTGGAGATGTTGCACACTTCTGGAGAACCAGTAAGATTGAGCTGGTGAGTAATGCACAGCCTGTATTTTACTGTATTAAATTTGTTGCTCCTCTTCTTCCTAACCCCCAAAACAGGGTATGAACTTATGAAGAAGTTATAAATTGGTGTTGTATTGCAGATGAACATAAGATATGGAGCTGTAAGTACCCTAGGAGAATGATCTGTTGCAGACAAGAATGTTTTTGTTGTTGTTCAACAACCTTTAACTCAGGTCAGAAGTAGTTTGGTTGCAGTAAAAGCAAAGCGTTTGCAGTGTTGCTATAGGAACTGCACTGAAGGCTGTGGGAATGTCTGAGAAGAATTTGAAGAAGCAGAGTTACAAAGAAAACTACTTGAAGGCCATCTTTTAAGACAAACCAAAAACTTTGCTGGAGTGGGCCAGAACTTGACAGTGTATTGGAGGGAACATTTTGGTAGCATTTTTCTCCTGGATTAACTGGTTGATGGAAGTTAAGTCAGAACTACTTGCAGGCCTTGAATATTTTTTTTATCCTAAGGTATTTGGAGTCTGATGGTAACACAGGATTCCTTGGAGAACAGGACTTAAGGCATTAATTAATTAATATGTGACAGTTTGTCAGATGTTAGGTTAGTGTGCCTTGAGCTTTTATACCCTTCTGAAAGGTTAAGGCAATTACAGTCTGCTATCATGATGGATTACATTACAGCCTGTTCCTGAACGGAAGTGATACATAGGTTTTGAGGTGGAATTATGCTATTGTTTTTACTGTTAACAGAAAAAGATGCATAATAATTCAGACCTTTTCTTTGTTTTAGGCCATCTGGGTGGTAGCTTTTGTGGCTTCTCTTTTCCTGGGACTAGACTATGGTTTGCTTACTGCAGTAGCGTTTGCAATGATAACCGTTATTTACAGAACACAAAGGTCAGATTTCTTCTTTATCAAAATTAGTGTTTGCTGATCTTCTCTGTGGTGTTGTTTGTTTAATGGGTGCAAATAAGCAGAAGACCTTTCCATCCTCTTCAACAGCATGCAGTATAGAATCCGCTTCATAATATAGCTCATGCCCTGGGGCTCTAATGCAGGGTTCACATTTTATTTTTCTGAGAACAAAATTTCTAGAGAGCATGAACTTGCAATTTCAATAAAAAACAGAAGATTTTTGATTTCTTATATTGGTTAATATTGCTTACTTTTTTTAATGCCTAG